TCATAAAACCTAGCATATATTTGAATGTTACTTTTTAAAAAAATAATTAAAAAATAGACTTAGCTTATGACGTATTTAACTATGGCGAACATGTCTACCCATATTAGCACAAAGCGTCTATTTCACAACGGATACTGGTAACACTGACGTCATTTTTTTTTTTTTTAGTTACTTAAAGTTTAAGCGTAAAACATCTTGACACCCGACACTTATTGTTCTTTGTATAACCCACTTAGGCTTTCGTGACTTAGTGTTCTTCCGGTGGCGTTAGATTCGGAGCATTTCTCCAGCACCAAACTATTTTTGTTTGAATTCCAAATGTATTAGATCTACACTATACAAGTCAAGCCGGTAAGTTAATCGTGGTAACAACGGAGAAGGGGAAATCGTAAGGGACGTTGTGTCCAAGTTTAGAACCCCCCATTGCAGGATAAGTGGTTTGAGTGCATGAGAACGAATACAATCTCGTGCGAGCCTGTGTCCCCCCTGGGCTATTTTGTGTGACCACGTAAGTGGAGTGAGGTTTAGGTTAGTGTGCCCAGCGCAGACCAGACGACCGGGCGTCTTTTCGCGGAGTCTGCGTTGACAGTGTCGGTGTTGTGGTGTGTACCCACCACTGCCGCGCGCTACTACACACCCAGCGCGGCCTTGTGACAGGTCGGTCGAGTGCTGCTGAGGTGACGTGCCCCGTGTGTTGTGATGTAACCGTGATGAATGTTCTGACATGGAATAACGGTATTGCTATAAACGTGCCTGCTGTGTGTTCACCGCGAGTGTGTTGTGAACTGGTGTGTTGTTACTGTGTAAGACGTAACTTTTCCCGCTTGTTTCCAGCCAGGTCGACCGTTTCATGGTGATTTAACCTACTGTCGACATGTCATTTACTTACGTGTGTTAACTATATCGGTCCATACTCTGATGACCTTGGACGTGGTTGATTAGTTACAAGGCTGTCTTGAGTGTTCTTAACTATTTCCTTGTGTGGTTGAATGGTTGCCTGGATTAAGTCATTCATCATCATCGTCATCAATGGCACTACAGCCCATGTAGGGCCCTGGCCTGCTCCACCACATCCTTCCATTCGGAGCGATCCATGGCTTTCCGTCTCCATGCTCGAACCCCCAACTGGTGTAAATCTGTCTCCACATTATCAATCCACCTCATCCTTGGGCGACCGATGAGTCGTCTGCCCCTAGGTTTCTGCCTGTATATGATTTTGGCTGCTCTGCATTCCGGCATCCTTTCAACATGACCTGCCCAGCGTATTCTGCCTTTTTTTTATCATTGTGCCAAGGGTGGTTCTTTGTACAAATAGTAAAGTTCTTGGTTTGTACGTATTCTCCAGATATCATTTTCTATCACTGGTCCGTATATTTTGCGGAGGATTTTCCTCTCCCATGTGTTGAGCAGGTTCTCTGCTTTTCTGGTGAGGGTCCCGGTCTCACTATGGTACGTTACTACAGGTCTTATGATGGTGGTGTAGATTGAGTCATTGGGACGTACAAAACAGCAAGGAGTGAAGCTCAATCTTCTGTTCCTCTGAAGATACAAAAGCTGTGCCTTCATATAAAAGTGGTGACCAGATCAACAAAACAGACATCACCAAGCGGAGTCACCTTTCAGATGTGTATGTCATCTAGAAGCTATGATGTACTGATGATACTGTTAGTAGGAAGATGTGTACATGACTGGCGCAAGACACACGATTGTATGTGTTCAACCCACTCAACATAACGCATATGTTTATAGAGTGCAATCACTATAACTTATCATGTATATCAATGGTGTATTTTAACTGAATGCTAGATTGTCAGTGTTGTAGCTCTGCCCTTCTCCACAAGACATATGATTTCATGTGGCGAATACACTCATAATACCATAGCATACATATCCAATGGTCTATTTTAACTGAATGCTAGATTGTCAGTGTTGTAGCCCTGCCGTCACACAATGACTGGGGCTATACAAATTGTCACCCGGTTGCTGACAGATGGCGACTCTTGATTGCGATACAATTGCGTTGTGTCCGTAGTGGTGAGCGGAAGAACAGTCACACCTCCTGTCACCCCGTGACCATAAATCGCTCTGTATTTGATTGACAAGCAGCCCAGCACGCAACGGGTCCTGGTTTTTTTTTTTTGTAAGGACTCGTGACCTTTCGGTTGATAGCTGCTTTATAAATGAGGAGTTCGCTCAACTGCACGATGTTTCACTAGAGACTTGTAGATCAATAGACCTATTATATGTTACCTACGTCACAGCGCTTATGTCTTTCTTCATAACGAAACAAGCGTTGTGGTGGTGTTATGGATGGAGCTCCTCTTGGCATCCGTCCATCAGTGTGACGATGGTGTAGAGTGCGCTGGACGGCATCCACAAAGCCTGGGATTCTTCTTTTTTTTTAAAAGGATTATAAGCTGGTCTCCTAGAAGAAAGCAAATCGCCGCTCTCTCCGCACCGCTGGATAACCCAAGGGAACATCATGTGGATGATACAGCTTGGATGGAGCGTTTAATTTGTGTAACAATTCTGTGGATTTTTGGGCGGGCACTATGCCTAAGGCGGAGGAGCCCTTCTCGCCATGTTATTCTGTCTCAGTGGATTATGTTCCTGGATGCCGCCCACAGACTAACGAGAATACATTTTTACTTTCACGTCATAAACTCACTACCACGGATAAGAACGTCATAAACTCACTACCACGGATAAGAACGTCATAAACTCACTACCACGGATAAGAACGTCATAAACTCACTACCACGGATAAGAACGTCATAAACTCACTACCACGGATAAGAATGTCATAAACTCACTACCACGGATAAGAACGTCATAAACTCACTACCACGGATAAGAACGTCATAAACTCACTATCAAGGATATGACAGGCAGAGAAACGGAGCCAGACTGTCGGAGCCAGGCAGACAAACGGAGCCAGGCTGTCTATACAATGTGTCCATCATGTGATGTGACCGGATGTAGGCCTATTTGAACTTTGGGATCTCCCATAATTTGTCGTTAAGTGTCTCTGTGTCCTTTTTTTTTTCAAAGTCATATTATGCATTCCTCCCTATTATACAGGTAGAGTCTGACACGTGTCACCTTTTGGGCACGTTGCTATTCATCTTGTCACATCTCAGTTGTGTCTTGATAAGACGCGGCGAATATTCAAAAACGAATGGGTGAGGGTTGCACATAGAGGAAGCAAGTGATAGAACAGTTCCATTGATAAAAAAATGTGACTATGTTTTATTATAACTATAGCCAGACACTTCTACAAGTTGAGTCTATGTCATTAAGCTCACCACATGTGTCTCGGGGTGTGTAGCACAAGAATGACTCTGTCTGCAATTGAAATGTTACATTCACACGTCGTTTGGTAGGGTATGATTTGTTCTGTCTCTGTGTTATTGAACCACGTGCCGTTGGCTGGACACCGTGGCCAGATGGATGGAGTTAGTGACTGGACACCATGGCCAGATGGATGAAGTTAGTGACTGGACACCGTGGCCAGATGGATGGAGTTTGTGACGGGACACCGTGGCCAGATGGATGGAGTTAGTGACTTGACAGTATTCAGTATAATGAAATCATTATTTGTTGTTAATTAAATGTGATGGACGTTTAAAATAAGTCACGTGACCATTTTCTGACCTTGGGGGATACCCGGAGAACGCTTGATTGATTTGTTTACCTTTCTGATTTGTTTACCTTTCTGATTTGTTTACCTTTCTGATTTGTTTACCTTTCTGATTTGTTTACCTTTCTGATTTGTTTACCTTTCTGATTTGTTTACCTTTCTGATTTGTTTACCTTTCTGATTTGTTTACCTTTCTGATTTGTTTACCTTTCTGATTTGTTTACCTTTCTGATTTGTTTACCTTTCTGATTTGTTTACCTTTCTGATTTGTTTACCTTTCTGATTTGTTTACCTTTCTGATTTGTTTACCTTTCTGATTTGTTTACCTTTCTGATTTGTTTACCTTTCTGATTTGTTTACCTTTCTGATTTGTTTACCTTTCTGATTTGTTTACCTTTCTGATTTGTTTACCTTTCTGATTTGTTTACCTTTCTGATTTGTTTACCTTTCTGATTTGTTTACCTTTCTGATTTGTTTNCCGGTTGGTTGGGGGGGGGGAGGGGTTTACGGTGAATTCGTAGGTGGCTTGCTAGTCCGATCTGTCATGATATACAAAATGAGATAAATACTTTCGATCTTGGCTAATCCTTTCATAGTTGTATGCAACTTGTAGGCTAGTCTGTGTTCACGGTATTGGCACAGTCTGTGCTCACGGTATTGGTACAGTCTGTGTTCAAGGTATTGGTACAGTCTGTGTTCACGGTATTGGTACAGTCTGTGTTCACGGTATTGGTACAGTCTGTGTTCACGGTATTGGTACAGTGTGTGTTCACGGTATTGGTACAGTGTGTGTTCACGGTATTGTTCCATTCATGGTACGGTATGTGTTCGCGGTATTGGTACACTCTTGGTACAGTATGTCTTCTAACATAAAGTTAAAACAAACAACAAAACGACCTTGACCTGATGTCTTGTGTCAAGCTCTTATTTAATGACACCTTAAACCCGGGACATCAGAATGCATCGTTTTATTATCACCAAATGAAACTTACTTCGGTTTGTAACACACAGGGCGTTGTTACTGAAGCGTTTTCCAATAGCCTGGATTAGCCTTGGATGGCAGATGTTATCAGACTGTGTCACCTGAACACCTACAACTTTTCATATTTACAAAATATAGTTTCTGTACTGTGTCGTCGTCCCCACCCCCCGCGCATCGGATGGGATGATGAAACAGGTGCACACTGTGAAAGGTCGTGAGTGTTTTATGTAGTATCTTCGCCACATGTGGATTTCCTCTCTGTTTCATCCTCTTTTTTTGTTTTGTCCCCAGGTGGAGATGTTAGAGAGGAAGTACGGCGGGTCCATAAGATCACGCCGTGCCGCCAGGACCATTCAGAGGGCGTTCAGACAGTACTGCATGAACAAAAACTTCCAGAAACTACGTCACTCGTACGGAGAGCGCCGGCTGTCCAAACGCCTGTCCGAGCTGGGCAGAAGCAACACCGTGTGGTCCGATCGTCTGGCCAGCGACCTGCCCGGCGGCACTGATGACAACGGCAATGTTTCCAGTGACGGCGGGGAGGTAACGTTCGGACGGAACATCAGGGATTTGGTGGCCGATTTTGAGAACTCCAGCAGGTCATCGGAGCGCCCGCAGATGACGTATGATGGGAGTCCCGACAGACATAGGCGTAGCTCGGGTGGGCCCGTGCAAAGGGGCGATAGTAAGCGCAAGCTGGACCGCCACCCGGGAGTAGAACACATGGACGGTTACTCCCAGGGCAAGGAGAACTTGCATCAGGCCCACATGGGCAGGCATTCCTTCAGCAGCCCAGCCTTCTCAATGGACGGGGTGTACAGGAGCAACAGGTCCAAGAGCGGTAGTTTCAGCAGTAACACAAGCGTCGGCGGCGTGTACAATGGGGGTGACCCAAGGGGACCTTACTCTGAGATGACCTCAGGGGATTTTGTGAGGTCGACTGCTCTGGAAAACACAGCCGTGGACCCGCAGAGCCTGGACTTTGAGACGCTGCTTGAAAGCAAAGAAACAGATATTCTCACTGATAGCTTCCACAGTGACGGCAGCACCATCCAGGATATTTCCGGTGGTGGCGGTCACGCAGGACTCGCCCACAGGGTGTCCGCGCCCCAACTTGGATGTAACAGCATGGACAATGGTTCGGAGCTCTCCAGGGTGTCATCCTCCCCAGGGGGTTCGTTTGATAGCTTCAGGACTATCTCCATCGACCCCAGTGATTACGTGACCATTGGGGACGATCACCTGGAAGTGAGAATCGACTCAGGCTCGCCTGAGCCGGACAGTCCTGTGTACAAAGAACAAATGGCAGCCGCCCAGGTAAAATACTACATGACCAACTCACAGGTCAAGTACAGAAACAGGGATTCTCACCCCAGCGCTGCTCCCAATGTGGCGGTGGTTCCCCCAACACGATCCTCGGACACGTCTCCAATATGGAAACGTAAAGGGGACGGTCCACCCAGTGTTCAGCAGGTGACCAACGGCAATTTGGCGGAGCTGAAAAAGGGCGAGGTCAAGAGGATGAGCAACATCTCAGAGACAAGTGAGGCGGACAGTGTCGACGGCATTAACTCCAGCTCGCTGAGCTCGGAGAATGTCAGTACAGAGAACATTAGTATGGGCAGTGAGAACTCTCTGAGCTACCAGAGGAAGCTCAGGATGAGCATAACACCGGAGTCACAGACCATACCACGGGGCAATGACAAGCAGAGAAAACGACTGTACAGGATAGGACTTAACTTATTTAACAAGTGAGTACAGTTTGGTGCATAGATAATGTATCTGTTGTTGTTGTTGTTGTAAGCTTGCTTTGGGACGAGAGTCTCAAACTCAAATCATTCGGGGGTGGCAGGAGGTAGAGTCTGAGCGAGACTGGGCAGCATCAAGTATTGCAACTGTTACAATCTGCTCAACCTTTATTCATAACAAATAAAAAGATTTAGGGCTCGCAAGAACCTGGGTTCATCTAATTCCTTCTTCTCCTTGTTGCCAGAGACCAAGCAATGCTTCTTCTTACACGGCTGAGAAACATTTAGCTTGAGTGAGAAAGCAACAGAGACCCTCAGTATAGCTTGAAGATGGTCATCAGTAACTTTGACTTGTTAAAGTTCGTAGTGGAAAAGAGCATTTCACATAGATAGGTACTCCCAAAAAGGCACATGATCCGCTTGAGCGCTTGAGCAACCTAGAAATCGAACAACCTAGAAATCGAACAACCTAGAAATCGCAGGGACGGTGGAGGGCAATGCTCTCATAAATTGGCCATGCTTGTCAGTTTTCCCATTCTCCTCACTGAACTTATATTGAAGATTAATCAGCGCAATTTGAAGGGTAAAAATGGGGTGGGGGCATCTTCCACATTGAAGGACGTGTCAGTAAAAATTTGAAAAGTGGCTCTGTGTGTTTTGGAGTCTGCAAACATGTGATAAAATTCTTCCTGTCGCTTTGCAATGGCATCAGTAGACTTACTACTGAATGGTGTGCCCGAGTCCAAGAGTATTTTGCATGTTGCGAAATAGCAGAGGTTTCTCTGAGAACCATAACACAAGTTTTGTGCAGAATACCCTGACATTGTTATGGGCAACACTGACAAGCTGCCCCTTGTCTTGTAACTTATTGTTGAGTACATTCAGCTCCTGTGTAATGTCAACAAATGTTTGCCATGTTACAATGTGTATGTTTGCCATGTTACAATGTGTATGTTTGACATGTTACAATGTGTATGTTTGCCATGTTACAATGTGTATGTTTGCCATGTTACAATGTGTATTTTTGCCATGTTACAATGTGTATGTTTGCCATGTTACAATGTGTATGTTTGCCATGTTACAATGTGTATGTTTGCCATGTTACAATGTGTATGTTTGCCATGTTACAATGTGTATGTTTGCCATGTTACAATGTGTATGTTTGCCTTATTACAATGTGTATGTTTGCCTTGTTACAATGTGTATGTTTGCCATGTTACAATGTGTATGTTTACAATATAACAATGTGTATGTTTGCCATGTTACAATGTGTGTTTGCCATGTTACAATGTGTATTTTTGCCTTGTTACAATGTGTATGTTTGCCATGTTACAATGTGTATGTTTGCCATGTTACAATATGTATGTTTGCCATGTTACAATGTGTATGTTTGCCATGTTACAATGTGTATGTTTGCCATGTTACAATGTGTATGTTTGCCTTGTTACAATGTGTATGTTTGCCATGTTACAATGTGTATGTTTGCCTTGTTACAATGTGTATGTTTGCCATGTTACAATGTGTATGTTTGCCTTGTTACAATGTGTATGTTTGCCATGTTACAATGTGTATGTTTGCCTTGTTACAATGTGTATGTTTGCCTTGTTACAATGTGTATGTTTGCCTTGTTACAATGTGTATGTTTGCCATGTTACAATGTGTATGTTTGCCTTGTTACAATGTGTATGTTTGCCTTGTTACAATGTGTATGTTTGCCATGTTACAATGTGTATGTTTACAATATAACAATGTGTATGTTTGCCATGTTACAATGTGTATGTTTGCCTTGTTACAATGTGTATGTTTGCCTTATTATAATGTGTATGTTTGACATGTTACATTGTGTATGTTTGACATGTGGCAGTGTGACGAAAGGTTTCGTGATTAATGGATTGGACAATTTTTTTTAACAGGAAACCTGAGAAGGGACTGGACTTCTTGCTGGACAATAATTTCTTGGACAGTTCTCCCAGGAGTGTTGCCCGGTTCTTCATATCCCGGAAAGGACTCAGTAAACAAATGATCGGAGACTTTCTGGGCAACTTACAGAATCCTTTCAACCAAGAAGTCTTGCAGTGAGTACACATTTTTTACATGGTGTCTATGGGCATTAGATCAGTTAGTTCAAAAGACTTGCTATTTTAATTGATGTCTTTCCATGCCCCTGTGTTACAAGATTGTCAGCCGGAGAACAGTTATCTAAAACCTATCAAAACGGAACCGAACGTAGGGTCTCAGTCTGTCACAGAACGGTTGTTACGGAGGAGGGCTCCGATCCTGACTTACCACGAACTGTGTTGACTAAGTAGTGGTCAGTACAGGACCGCTCCTCTCTGTGATTTATATTGTGGGTGTCTAGGCGTTGAGACAGACAAAAGCACAAAGTAGACTTGGACGAAATGCAACAACTCAAAACTTCTGGTGTCCAACGATAATGAAAGTGTTTATTGGTAAGATATACGTTTTTCCAGTCATCTGTCGTCTTCTGGTCTCTAGCAAGTATTCCTTCACAACTGCTCAGTTCTATCGTAGCTCTTTTCTCTCTCTTCCTCAACTAATCCGTAGTTCTTCTCTATCTTCCTCAACTAACTAATGTCGCTCCTTTCCCTCTTCCTCAACTCGTCGTACCTCTGTTCACTCTCCCTCAACTAACCTAACTCAGTGAAAGCTCCCTCTTATATTTGGTTCTCTACCCCCCATAGGTGGTCCAGGAATGCTATCTATAAACACACCCCTGCCCCCTAATTTCCGGTCAATTAGACCTTCCCATTGTTAACCCAAAAATTATCATGCGAAGTCTTGAAAACCCGAACATACTATTATCCAAAGAAACAATCCCCCACTATATCAAGATGTGAGAGTCTATTAACCTTAACTTAACCCCATTAACAGCAGTTTCCTTCCATCCTATAAGTTACTTTAACAACAATGGAGCTCTGTCCTATACCCCCGCCCCAGTCATTTGTGACACAGTCTGAGCCACGGAAGCTGGACCTTGTGTTTGCCGGAAGCTGGACCTTGTGTTTGCCGGGCCAGTTCAAATATCAACACAAGTCTACTCTGACCAAATTGTCGACTGCTCACAGCTGTCTGGTGCCATTTTGACCAAGTTTATAATTTCTTATGTTCTTTTTCAAGTATCGTCATTTCAAAACATTGTTCAGTTTTCAAAGGTTCTCGCGTTCTATAGCATCTTTTTCGATACAACCAATTCGTATTACATACTACTAGAGGCAGATAGGTATCTTTATCAAATTCTCAAACCAGTAGGCTTCAGACCCACTTGGAAACCTTAATAACTTGATTGGTTCCAAAAAGCAGTGTCTTTGACACTTCTGGGCGATCCTATAATGCTTCAATTGTCACACTGCTGATCTATGGTGTCAATAATTACGCTTTTAACCCGTGGTTTCAATAGCTTACTTTGTCTCTCACAGCCAATATCTCCATGTAGCTTCATGTGTTCATGCCGAGTTTCATGTGTTCATGCAGCTTCATGTGTTCATGCAGCTTCATGTGTTCATGCCGAGTTTCATGTGTTCATGCCGAGTTTCTTTGGAGTACGGAAACCAGCTTAAGCCCCCCCCCCCCAACCTCCCCCCAGAATCTTCGAATGTCCCCCCTCCCCTCCCTATGTGGCATTGGGTCTTCGTTATGAAACACTGTTAAAGGATCTGTTATAATCATGATTACATGGTACCGAGGATTATTTCCTAGTTTTTGTACTATCAAAGGCGGCACACTGGTCGGGACTTTGTACACATTGTGATCGATACAACACAGATTGGTTGATTACTCGCCTAATCTCTGGGGTATGATCCAGCGATCGATACTTGCCCGAGACAAGAAATTACGTTGGGAAAATACTGATCAAGCTTTCTGTAATGAGTTTGTTTGATTGGTGGACAAGAACTTTTCTGTTGACATGTTTGGTGGTAGGCCTGGGATGAACAGTAAGCGATTAGAGATTATGGGTTGTGAAATATTCGGAGAAAATGTTTGTGGGGTAGCAGATGGATTACTTTGATCTAAATATGGGTTTGTGAGCCTCGTGGATACGTGGGTTTGAGAGCAATGTGGATACGTGGGTTTGAGAGCAATGTGGATACGTGGGTTTGTGAGCCTCGTGGATACATGGGTTTGTGAGTGTTACAAAAAATTGTGTTGTGTTGTAATTAATTAATGTACTGACCCAATTATTAAAAGTTTTGGGTTTGAAATGTTTAATGTTTGTATTAACAAACAAAGGTCCCTTTCCTCTACGTAAGATTAGTACTGCTATTATGGTTATGTCTAGGGTACGATTAATTTCCTGATGAAGTATTCTACACTAATCCTACTTCACACTCACTCTATCATTCAAGGAAAACTCTCACTAGCTCTCACTTGCAAGTCTATTAATACTTAAACTATACTAATAACACAAGAGTGGTTCAGCCCACAAATAAATATTTAATTATATAAAAAATAGAACTATCAGCATACACATTACATAATACTATACACATAAACAGGATAACAAGATACTGCCCAATATTATTGCATAGTAGGCTCTCAATGGCGATCTGGTCAAATAAGTAAGTCCCACACACACACACACAGCACAGCAGCCCTCTGCTCGGGTCACAACGTACTGCGGGGTTGGGCGGCTTGACTGCGTAAGTGTCTCCGGTCACTGGCACTGCGAGGAGGTAGGTGCCGACTTTGAACTTTACTGTGGGTAACACACACACAGTATATGCTACCGTCTTGTTGA